GTCATACCAGGAACCCTAGCCCTGGCTTTCGTCGAGCAATTCCATGAATGGACCCACTTTGGTCAGACCACCCTAGAAACAACCCTAATAGGTACTTCTACGTACCCCGACTCTCCAGTATCTCGTGAGTAGTCTGTGAACGATGCCTTGTTTGTGCTCGCAACAACCCACGTCAAGGGCCGACCTTACCCGCCAGGGTCCAATATACCAATGGCACCCATTTGAAGACCTCACAGTAGATTTCACTGAGATGCCATGCTCCAGGCATCTTAAATATCTCTTAGTATTTGTATGCACCTACTCGGGGTGGGTAGAAGCCTTCCCCACCTGGACAGAAAAGGCACGGGAAGTCACCTGGCTATTACTGCAGAAAATAGTCCCTCGCTTTGGACTGCCACTCTCAGTAGGCTCTGACAACAGCCCTACCTTTGTGGCCGAAGTAATTCAGCTCTTAGCCAAGCTCTTCTGCATCACCTGTAAGCTACCTACAGCCTATCACCCGCACAGCTCAGGACAAGTAGAATGCATGAATTGGACCCTCAAATCCCACCTAAAAAAACTGTGCCAAGAGACACACCTCCATTGGGACAAGGCCATCGTAAAACGTGAAACTGCCGCTAAGGTCCTCATGTTCTGGAAGTACCAACCCCTAGACCAACAGCCCGTTGAAGGAGATGATGCTCTCTAACCCACGTATGGGTTCAAACATCAAAGGGGGAAATGTGGCAGAGGGCCCTAGACAAAGACTTTCCCAGACCACATGGCCACCAAGACTCCCGCGTTTAACATTTCCTAATTCCTACCTCTGCCAGGAGCCAGTCAGAAACTAACACAATGCCACATGCCCTAATAAGGTATCCTAGTTGCTAACCTGGAAACCTCAGGCTATATAGCTCTGAGTCCTGTCCGGATCAGGGCTCAGCCTCTGAATATGAATCCACTGAGCCGGTGCTGGCATCAATAAACTTTGCTTCCCGCCCTGAGCCTTAGTGTCCCCTGTCTCTGTCTGAGTATCCTGCAACAATGTAAACAGCGCCAGGCAGAAGAGATAACTAGTGCAAAAACTCTTAGAATGGAAATGGGATTTGTCCATTCAAAGACCAGGCAGCTTTTTAGGCCACTGGTCCTCAAGATTAGTGAGCAAAAGGGAGACAAAGCGACAGCCTGATTGTGGAAGCATGGAAGTCATGCTAGGCAATGTGAAAGCATTTGAGTCTAAGTGCAGTAGGGAAGAACTAAATGCTAACATTTGGGTTTAATACTATATTTTCCTAAAGAGACTTCATAACTCTCATCAGATGTTTCAGGAGACCTATAACTCCTCCTCCCTCAAAGGTTAATAGTACCTGATTCAGAGGGAGAAGAGAAGGCCCAGGTGCTTTAGAAGGATGCAGTTTGGAGCCACATACAGTGCATTCTTCTAGGACACAGGAAACCACTCAGGAAAAAATTACAAACAATTATCTTTGAGGAGGGCAAGGGTGAAACTTGAGACATTATCTGTGACATCTTATGGAGTAGGCAGCTTTAAATGCTCCCAAATGTGGTAGCAACATACCCAGAAAGGTGGGGGAGAAATGAGCAGTGATGGTAAAGTTGGGGTTCTCATTCTAGAAACCTAGTCTGCAAACACTGGACAGTGCATTAGAGATATTTGAGAATTACAAGGACTTTTCCTTCTCATTTATACAAATATGTTTAAAAGGTTTCCTAAACCTAAGTGTGATATAAAGATGTCTGAAATTCCCCTAAAGCTATGACCCCAAATTTCCCCAATCCCCTTTTTCAAGGGCTTCTATCTCCTGGGGATTTCCTCTTCTCTTCATCAAGTAGTTACAAGAAAGATGAAAGATGACATGTGTCTTTGCTGAATTGATTTTTAAATTCCCCCCACCCTTGCATGCCCTACACTCCTCCTGCCCAAATCATCTTGAAGATGTGTAGAGATGATTTGGAAAGACTTGGGCTTATTAATTAACCTAAACAGTCACATTTGGCTGCAAGGTGCATTATTGTTAATTAAAACCACCATTCTCCTTGTGCCCAGACAGAGGGCTGCTGTTGTCAGAATAATTAGATAGAATACTATGGTTTCCATGCAAATCCCTAGCAATTAAAGTTGGTAATGAGTTGGGTTTAAAATCCCAATGAAATTCTCCATCAGAATTCCTCTGAGGGTGGCTTCTGGAAGAAAGTGGTGATGGGGCTGCGGAGGAAAGGGAAATAGGGGTGGATAAAAGGGTGTAAGGACCAGCTACTTGTTTCCTAAATCCTCTGTGAGAGGCCCAAGCTTGGAATAAATGAACTATGGGTGTCAATGTGATCTTCAACGTTCCCTTAAGAAAGAAGTCTCCTTAAAGAAGCAATGCAGACCGACCCTCCCCAGGGCCTTGTGAGCTCCCAAGAACCTGCTTCCTGGCTCCCATCTTTCTGAGAGGTTTTTTTTTTTCTTTAGCCAGGAAGCCCAATAAAACTCATAAATAACAGCTAAAGTCCCTGCAAACCCTCAGATTAAATTCGTAAGGGTTCTAAGAAAACAAGATTTGTATTCCTGAACGGCTGCAGAAAAGACGCCCTATTCAGACCAATGTTGGAGTGGCTGGTGGCATGCAGTTGGTTAAATGGACTGGGGTAACAGGAGTGTGAGGAAAGCCTTAAAGAAGTAACCGAGGTCAGGGTTAAACTTTCTGAAGAACTATCCAAATGCAGCCTAGATAATGACAGAAAAAGGCAGATCCCTGAAGAGACTGGGGCAGTCAGCAGGGGTGGAATGGAGAAGAGATAACTGTGGGGAGGAGTCACCAACCCACCCTGACCTCTTATCAGCTTCAGGCTTTTGCCTCTACCTTTCCTTTGTGAGAGATGTGATAGCTGCTGAATGACCTGGGCTTCTCTCTAATTGGACTGAACAGGGAGAAATTTTTACCTGGAGACATGGGCTGGGGGGGGTGTAGATAAAACAACTCCAGTGATCTTAAATTAAGTCTCCCTTGTATTTGGTTGACACTGGAAGACTCAGCAAGTCAAAAAACTCTCTCGCTCAACTAGGTCAGACTCCTCTGAGAATCCAGTACCTTGTAAAGGAGTTGGGTGATGTCTGATAGGACTGAGAGAGTGGTCAGAGGTTAGAAGGAAAATGGTGAGAGAAGGCTGTAAAAGGAATAATAGAAAATGAAAACACTGGAACACATTCATGAACTATGGTGGGAGACCTCAGCATAATTTAGGTTCGTAAATTATCTTTCTTCTTCATTTTCTCTCCCTTTCTCTTTCAGAATGTCTCCTATGTCTCAATCAGTCCCCTAAATCCCACCTTTCAATTTAGCATGTACCAATCAGAAGCTAACTTGGCAGTTGCTAAGAGACAGAAGGTGGGGCTTTGGAGGGTTTGTTGCTGCACCCACCCAGAAAAATTCCCCAAGCCTTTTGCATAGCCTGCCTAGGATGCTCTAGCTCATCTCTGCTCCCCTCCTGCACTCTATTATTTATCTCCAACCCAAAGAGTCAAGCAGAATCATGTGGGGGAGGAACCAGGTATAGCTCATCTTTGAAAAATGGAAAGAACGTGTTTGGATTCAGATGTAAGGCATCCTCTCAAGTTGCCCCAGCTTTTAATTGGATTGGAGGGCAGAACTCATTTTGTGTGTTTGTGTGTGTGTGTGTGTGTGTGTGTGTGTGTGAGAGAGAGAGAGAGAGAGAGAGAGAGAGAGAGAGAGAGAGAGAGATCTTGGGTAGAGGGTGAATTTGTTGGTGGCAGTAGAGGTTGTTCTCCTTATGAGGAGGGGTTTATTCATTGTCCTTCCAATCATCACCTAAACGTGGTTGTGGTGGACTGAAAAAAGCCTTCAGGATCAAGATTAGCAGCCAAAGAATCAGGGGGATATTTAAGGGAGAGGCATCCAGGACATGGGAGTACAATGTGGAAGGTGGGAGGACAGATTTGTGTGGGAAAGAAAGGCTTATTCTAAGAGCTGGGGTTTAAAAGGGAAATTTGGTGGATTTTAAGCAGAAATGAATTGGGTCAGGTCCCTTTCCCTTTAAGTTTCTCACGCCTCTTGATTTTCAGTTCCCTGTACACAATCTACACAGAAAAGACTAGGTAGGTACAGAGACCGGGGTAAAGAAAACTCATGGGTAGGGAGTGTGTCATAAATCCTGATTCCATGTTCTGGGAAAAAGGATGAAGAACAGAATGAAGTGGGGGGGGGGGCCTGTGAGGTCACAGCACACACACAGGTGTGTGCAGTTCAGACACTGATGGAGAGGCAAGCACACATGTTAACATGTGTTATTACACGCATGCATCTAATATGGATGTGGGTTCTAACAGATTGAGACAGATAGATGTACATGTGTCCACGTGTGTACACACACACACACACACACACACACACACAAACCACACACATACACAGGGATTAAGATCATCCTAAGGAATCAACCTGAGTGATGACTCCTAGGAAGTGGCTTCTATAATTATCTTGATATGTTCCCTAGACTAAGTAAGTTTCCCCAGGATGCTTCTCTCCACTTTTCCCACCACCACCCTGATCGCTAAACAAACCCAACAGGTATCAGGGAGAGAGGAGGCACAGAAGAGTGTAGGACAGGCCAAATAGGGAGGGGTGTCATGATCTGGGCTCATCGTTTCTCTGCTTTGCTCTGTCCAGTTTCTAGTCTTCTTTCATTTGCTCTCTGTAGCAACTTTTTTTTCTTTACCTGCTAAGCCATCTCTTCTAGTTTTTTAAGTTTAGGTGCTCCCGTCATACTCTTGCCCCCCTTTTCTTTCCCCCTGGAAGAGATGGAACCAACTCCACACCTGAAGAGAACACCTGTGTGCCCTGAGGATGTTTGAACGTAATTCACTTTCTCCTCAGGCCAGCTAGAGAAACCACTGAAAGTCTGGCGTGCAATATCTCTCTCCGCCTCCCTCCCTTCTTCCCTCCCTCTCTTTTTCTTCCTCTCCTCCATATCCCCAGACAAAATAAGAAACAGCCAGCTTCATAAAAGCAGTGTGGACTTTAATTCAGGTTGACATGTGAGAAGAGAGCTAGGATTTGCTTCCAAGGGTGTCCTGATGAAAGGATTGTCTTGCTGGAAGAGGCAAGGAGGGCAAGCAAGTGCGAGTGGCCTGGTGGCAAAACAGGGCTAGGAGCAGGGGTGTAGCCACACAGTGCGATATTGCCAGGGCTTCTGCCAAGTGCGGCAGCACGTCCAGGGCCTGCTGGGCCGGGCATGATGACACTATCAAGAACTTGGACCTCACTAAGGAGTCCAATCCCTGAGCTACTCCATGAAGCCACCAGAAAATGAACCAGACACACAGGGTATCTACCCAAGGACATGACCCCCTGCCCAATACCTTATTTAGCCCCTTGGCTCCCAATAAACCCAGTGGCAACAAGATAAAGATGGCAAAACAGGCAGCAGTGTGCATAAACCGTAAAATCCCCTGTCTGAGTGCCAGGGTGCAGAGTCCATTGGAAATGTCACTGCCTAGGGTGGCTGGCAGCCCCAATAGGACTGCCACTACCCAAAGTCCCAGGCTGAGACCCAGGGTGAGGGCTGGGACCTGGCCTGGACCAAGTTTGGGGCCCAGGCAGGCACAGAAGCCTATCAGCAAAGCTTGGGCAAAGGCTGAGCTATACCAGACCAAGTGGATCAGGCGGCATAGGTGGGTGTGGTAGCCACCACTTAGCCCTGGTGCCAGGAAGGGCACAGCAGTGCTGAAGAGGATACTGCCCACAGCCAACTGTGCCAGGATTGGCCGGCCAGGACACAGTCGCCAGCGAAAGAGAGGCCTGAGAAGAGCAAAGAGAACAGCTCCACTCATTAGGATTCCCAGGACACTGGTGAGGACATAGAAGGGCAGTGAGGACTCGTCCAGCAGACTACAAGAGCGGCACGGGGCAGCTGCTTCAAATCCAATGTAGTTATAGTCCTGTGTAGTTAGGTCGTAGGAATTATTCCACTCATCTGAAAAGTTGTCTCCAAAGGCAGTGCTACTCCAGTTATCACCAGCAGAGGAGGAGTCTACCTGGAGGACATCCCCAGAGGGGACAATCAGAGCATCTAGTTACTCCACTGAAGAGTCTCCCAGGAACTGAGGGGAAAGGGATGGGGAGGAACAGAGGGGAAGCTGAGGCTGGAGAACAAGGGGGCTGGAGGAATTGGATGCAGGGGGGATAGTTGAAAAAAGACAACACAGGCAGCCTGAGGAGCTCGTGGAGGAGCAGTCACAGAATAGCACTGCGGAAAGGCGATGGGCGAGACTGGAGAGCAGGGGAAGTTTGGAGGCACGGTGACGAGAGATCTGGATGGAACTGACTAAAAGACAAATAAAGACAATAACGGGAAACCTAAGAGACTGGGGTAAGAAGTAGAGAGGGAAAAAGAGGGAAACGATAAGCGATGAGGAGGGAAGGGAAGTGGTAGAAAGACAGGGGCAGATGGAAGGGTAGTAGGGGCAGAGGCGGGGGCTGTGGGTTCCGCCCCACACTCACCGGGTACAGACAGTTCCCCATACCACTGCTGGGCTCAATGCAGGCAGCAAGAAGGGCTGGGACAGTTCTGTCACTGGCTGTGGTTCCAAGATAAATGCCAGGGACTAATGAAGGCCATCAGTTTGGGGCAGGGCCATGGGGTGGCACATTCAGGAAGTCTTTCCTCCACGCCCACTGCCTGCCTAAGCCTTAGGCCCAAATGGGGCACTGACCCAAGACTTCCTGTTTTGAGGTTGGATTCTGCTGGTGGGGACCTGCACTCGGGAAAGGAAAAAGGTGGAGACCAGAAAGCGGGTATTTTCCAGAAGGTGGAAAGGGAGGCTGAGAAGCCAGCGGGCTTTCCAGCAAGAATTCTTTAAGAACAAGGAAGGAAGAAGGGGCCAGGGGTGAAGTGTGAGACAGAGATAAGAGATGCTGGGAAGTTGGAGGAAAAGGCAATGGGTGACTCTCACTGACTCTCCACCCCTTTGAAGTTGATCCAAGGAAAGATAGCTCAAAAGCCATGTGTTTGTGAAATGGGGTTAGTGGTGCTTGTGGCTGGATGCATGAGATGGTGACAACCTAAGTGGTACATGTGTGAGGGTGGGGGGCTCTTTGTGTATTGGCCTGGGTCTAAGAATGTGCTTATTTATGTGTGTGTGTGGCTGTGTATCATGTGCACATATCTGAGACAGGTGTCTGGGTGTGGGTCTGACTGTTTCAGCGTGAGAAGACAGAGGGCTGGAGGAGCAGCTGTTAAGAGGGGTGGGGGGTAGCATAATGAAGCTACCTTTCGGGGAGTGACTGGGCATTTGCCTCGTCAACTATGAGTGCAGTGAATGCATCTTCCATACCAAGCAGAACACGTGGTCTGACAAGTTAGAGCAGGCTCTGGGGGACAATGGGATCTTTTTAAATGGGCCCGTTGCCTCTGGGATACTCTCTACTCTTATTTCTGTTGGGGACACAAAGGCTGTGGAACTGCTGCATTGGCCTAGCATCTCCATACTGCATAAGTTCCTTACATGGGGGCAGCTGCTATTTCTCTGCAGCTGGAAGACAGAAAGGGCGGCTACACTGCGGACGGAGCCGCCTACGCTGACAGGGCTGCTCTCTGGTAGCCCTTTCCTCTGAGTTACTGTCCCAGGATCTCTGCTATTTTGTCTCCCTTTCCCCTGCATTTTATTTCCACTGTTAGGGAGACTTAGTCTGGACATTGGAAGGGGTGTCACGTAGTGTCTAAGTCAGAATGGTGAATTAGAGAGAGCTGCTTCATTTGTCCAAGAAAACATGTGTTTTTTTTTTAACTCTAGTCCTGCCAAGTCCTTCCAATTCACATATGGGTGCCTGGAGGTAAAGTAGGGAAGCCAAGTTGCAAAAGAAGGGGGAATTTATAGAGACTGTCCCCTTTTCTCCCCGGACACTAGCTCTAGCTTCAGGTTCAACATGAGGGGGACTAGAAAATGACTTTGGGGGGGTGGGGTCTGTTGAAGCTGTCCTGGAATGATTTTGGCGGTATCTTCACCTTCATTTCCACCTTCTCCAGCACTGCCTGGGAGCAGTCGTCCCACCCCAAACCCTCCGGAAAGCAAGGGCCCAGCCAAAGGGAGTAAACACACGTCTCTCCCTTGGAGAGTTGTATTGTTTCCATACAGAGATGTCCTTGGGAGAGTGGCCTGGTGAGGCGCACGTGACTCCTGGAGGTACCAGGTATAAGGGTACCAGCAGAGCCATCCTTACACATGCATCCCCACAGAAGCAAGAACAGCAAGAAGGAGGCAGCCAAGCAACACGGTGATCCAGATATATTGAGGGTGCCCTTCTGAGATTAGCACAGGAGAGTTAAAAAGATTATAAAGATACACGATTCCCTCCCTGCTCCCTTCCCCACCCCCAGCCCACAGACAGACACACACAGCACAACGACCCTTCTCCCTTCCCACCCCCCGGTACAAATATGGCTTCTGTGTAATATGGATAGAGTGGTTCAGCTCAAAAAGGAAAAGTCGTTTTCCCAAAAGCAGGTGCTGGGAGACAGGAGCCAGAAAGGCCTGAGGCCCTAGGCTGCCTTGCTTTAAGAGGAGGGGCCCTGGCTTAGAGGGGCAGGGTTGCCTGTGATGCCTAGGGCCCTAACCAGCGGCTGAAAGATTTGCAACGGTATGACCTGAACTGAGGGGTTTGGGTCACACCTGTTAGATGCAGTTCCCTCCATTTTGCACACCCCTGGGTTATTAGAGCAGGGAAGACATGCTGGAGGAGGGTGAGAGCAGTGCCAAGGAGCATCTTGGGTCTGAGACAGGGTAGCTGGCTGGACAGGGTGGGTGAGCAACCTCATCTCCATGGCAACCAGCTTGGACCACAAAGGAAGACAGAAAATCAAAAGCAGGGGTAGAGATGGGAAGGGAATAGGTTTCACTCCCAGCCCTCAACTCGCTGTGTACAGACTATGGGAAAATGAAATGACGGTGATCTTGCCAGGATCAGGGCTAGGGAGAGGCCTGAGGGGTGCATAGCAAAGGCTGTGGCACTGACTCCATAGCTCTGAGAAGGGAGACTGAGGCAGGGGTTTGATGCTCTGTGTTTTAGGGTGAAGCGAGATGGACAACTGAGCACAATGCTTCCTGGGACTGTTTTCTCCACGACAGATGGGCACTAGGGGTGGCATAGGAGGTACAAAGCTGGTTAGGAATCCTCCGCTCCCAAAGCCCTCCATTACATGTCCCACAGCCCGCCCACTTGCCCAGGACCCACCTTGTTGCCTCTCACACACAGGCATGCACACGCACACACATCCTCACACTCACAGAGTTCACATTATTCCCTTCCTTTGGGCAGGAAACAGCTTAGCGCAGTGACGCTCCTTTTAGTATTTTCGTGGTTGTCTGCCTGGCTGCTGGGGAAGGGAGGAAGGACTAAGGGAGGGCTTCGGAACTGAAAGGGGCAAAGCAGCACAGGGTGGGAGGAGGAATTGCTGAGCAATTCCATAAGAGAAGTGGTTGCTGAGCAACAGTCCAGGGCTTGAGTGAGAGTGAGGAGACCCTGGGCAGGGAAGCAGGGGAGGCAGACGCAGGTAGGCCCAGAGCAGCGCCTCTCCCACAGCTGCTGGAGCAAGAGGGGGCGGCCCTGCCTTGCTATCCTCAGTGGTGGTTCCTGTAAAAATGGCCTGGCTTCGTCCACCCTGGGGATCAAGGGGAAGATGGGGCCATCTCTGCCAACTTTCTTCTCCAAATCTATTCCTTCTGGCAGGGACCCATGTCCTCACCATGTGCAAGCTGTGGGTCTCTGTGTGGCTACTTGCCATCTGCAGGTCACATCTCCTCAGGGACTCCTCCATTCACCCCTTTCCCATTGAGGTGGGATAGGTGTCAGAGAGGCACCTGTGTCTCTGTCCGTAGCTCCAGGTGTGTGACTCTCAGCAGAAGAAAGGCCACCTCTAGCTCCTGCTCGTAACGTCCCCGCTCCCAGAGAAGTCCAGGAAGCTGATCTGTTGTAGAGGATGGGGGCCTGGCAAGAGCCCCCATCCCACCAGCCCTGCTCCTCTCCTGTCCTTACCCCTCCACCCTCGCTGTCCTCCTAAAGCTCCAGGTGTTTTGCTTTCCTCTCCCCAGGGCCCCTGCCCCTCCAGCCTGGAGACAGATTTGATTTGGGATTGTTACAAAAATAATAAGAACCCAAATGCAGAGAAGCCACAGATAGGGCTGAGGCAACCCCCCCTCCTCCCTTCCCATTCCAAACCGAGTACAAAACCGCACCCAAAGCAGACATTCTGTACAGGGGGTGGGGGGCGAGGAAGCAAGCGGGAGGGGCGGCCCTGGGGTCGCGCTGTACAAGTCCGGGTTGGTAATGGCCCCAGCAGTCCCCGTGGGGCCCCTGAGGGGCACAGGAGGTGGGTGGGCACCCTAGATGAAATATTCCTTCTTGTCGTCCCCGCCCGACTGCCCGCCTTCTGCGTTGATGATGGCTGTGTCAGCGTCAGGGGCATCGTCAGAGCCTTTAGCCTCATGTGTCAGGTAGGTTCCTGGGGAGAGATAGGGACTCCTCTTTTCAGGAGCAGTTTCCAGAACCTTGAAACCCCCCCCCTTGCCCACCCACCCGTCCACACCTTGCTCCTGTTTACAGCTTTCTTCTTCCCTACCTGACCTAACTTGTATTTTGCTGCCAATATCCCTCATCTGACCACACCCCCATGAATTAATGAATCCTGCCTTTAACTAGCATCTCATTAATAATACAGGCAAAAAAATAATGGTGTGTGTATATATATGCACGTGTGTATATGAGGTCAGACAATTAAGTTCACGAACCCATCCTAAAAAAAGTGCTACACACCTCACTGCTGAATATCACTATGGTCACCTTCAAAGTACTCCCCTTGGAAAGCTACACACCCATTCCAGCACCTAGTCCACCCTTCAAAGCAATTTTGGAACTCTTTTTCTGGAATGGCCATAAGAGCTGTGGTTGTATTCCCCTTGATGTCCTGAATGTCATCAAAATATCTTCCTTTCACTATTTCCTTCATCTTCAGGTAAAGAAAGAAGTCATTGGGGGCCAGATCAGGTGAGCAGGGAGGGTGTTCCAATACAGTTATTTGTTTACTGGCTGAAAACTCCCTCACAGCCAGTGCCGTGTGAGCTGGTGCATTGTTGTGGTGCAAGAGCCATGAATTGCCGAAAAGTTCAGGTTGTTTTTCACGCAGCCCTTTTAGCACTTCCAAATAGTAAACTCGGTTAACTGTTTGTCCAGTTGGTACAAATTCATAATGAATAATCCCTCTGATAGCAAAAAAGATTAGCAACATCGTTGCAACAAGTCTGTGAACTTCATTGTCAGACCGCGTATGTGCGTGTGTATATGTACATGTGTGTGTCTGTATCTGTGTAGTGTATGTGTGTATGCGTGCCTGTATGTGCGTGTGTGTGTGTCTGTGTGTATACGTCTGTGTGTCTGTGTGTCTGTGTGCATGTAAGGTAGTGCTAGGGAAACTGCTATGTCAGCTCCATGTGCAAGGCAGTTGAGAGCTGGCTAGCACTTGATCAGTTGGTGTCGTCCGGCTGCTGGCTAGAAGTTATAAGAAGGGGACATGAGAAAGGTGTGTGAGGAGAGGGTGGAGAGAGATGGTGTGCATACAGGAGAAGGGAGAAAAGAAAACAGATGTTGTGGGGCCCAGGAAAATGAGGCTAAACTAAAGGAAGCAAGTATAGGAAGAAGTGCAGAGTTTCGCAGTTCTCTGCTTACGGCAGAAAACCCTGGTGGCAGGGCAGCAGCTGACTGAGTGGGAAGGTTTGGTTTTACTGGACGGTCACCAAGTGATGAGGCTTTCCATTACCACAGGGTTGGCTGCATTCTTCTTTTGCAAACACTCCAAGGGGCTGACTGAGTCTCCAAAGGCCCTTCCTGCAGCCAGCTCCTGCCTGCCTGCTCCTGACCTGTCTCCCTACTCACGCCCAAGTTCTGCTGGTTTTCTCGCGAATCTGACCTTTGTGCCGGATCAAGTAGTGGCCGAGGAAAATGAGCAGGATGAGCAGCAGGAAGACGATGAAAGCCACGATCCCGCCAATAATGGCGTGGTAGGTGCTGGAGGTTGAGGGCACCGGACTGGGGTCTGGAGGAAGGGCGAGTGCATGCAGTCAGACCTGGGAAAAGCCTTAATCTTACAGCATCTCTGACCTGGTCACAGCTAATCTCACACAGCAGAGAACACGGACTCACATGGGGAGAATGGAATGGCATCGTTCAGCAAAAGGGATAAGCCTTATTGTGTACCCACGTTTCTTACACAGTGCGTGGAGCATAGTACTGTTTAAATAAAATTGATGCATTTGTGAATAAATAGATAACTCTGTTCCCATTAAACCTTTCAGTTGAGTTCATGGCATTGACGTTTGATCTTGGCCAAGTCAAAGATCATGGCTTTAACATTTATATCATCTCTTGGTTGGTCTCTTTCTCTCTCTCTCTCTCTCTCTCTCTCTCTCTCTCTCTCTCTCTCTCTCTCTCTATCTCTGTTTCTGTGCCTATCTTTCTTTCTTCTGATTTCTGGGTTATCAGAGTATTCCTCCCCTATCCCTCATGCCCTCTTACTCTCCTGTCTGCTTGCTATTCTGAGCTGGCTTCTCTAGAGGGGCTTCTCAACCTATTCACCCATTGTCCTGAGATCACATAAAGGGGCAGTGAAAAACTGTTGGATCCAAAAATTGGGCACTTTGACAATACCTTACAAAAGGTGATAGATGTGATAGAGTGTGACCGCCCCCCCCCCATAAAGAACAGTGTTCCTTCTTGGCAGGGGAGTTTAGAGTTCCAGCAAAACCCCAATCCTCTAGCAAGTCTCATCAGGAAGGTCTGCAACCCATTTTTCACTGCCCACCATCCAAAGGTTTGGGAAGGACAAAGACTTCCCTCATAGAAGTCCCACTGTGCTTCCTCCAGTGATGCCATAGGATAGAGAATCAGTCCCCCCAGAGAAGCATCTCCTGAGGATTGATTCCCACGGCACAGATAGGTCAGGCAGGCCAAGGACAGCACCAGTCATAACAGAGTCTCAAATGCCTGAGAAGACAGTACACAGGCTCAGGATACAGTACAACATCCAAAATTATACTCGCCATGGGCATGACTCTCCCACCCATGGGAGAGCTTTTTCCACAGACTTGGCTTGGGTCTTGACACTTCATTGACTCCTTATATATTTTGTCCTTCCTACCTTATGTCTCCTCAGGCTTGACTGGGCCAGCTTTTTAGTTCCTTATTTACCTGTACCTCATTTGAAAGAAAACGTTTATGCTGTGTTTTTTTATGTTCCACTTAGGAGGGAGGGAGAGGACGGGCCTGGGGGCTCCGTGATAATCATATCATGGTGGGGGGGTGATGGTGTAAGTTGGAGGAAGCAGAGTGCGGTTACCCACTGTCTTTCTCCCAGGGAGTATGTGAGACACAGTCCAAATTAAAAGTAAATCCTGGATAATGATTCCAGAGACTACGGAGATGGAAATTCCCTAGAATTCCCTAGGTTCCCATGGCCAAAATGATCTCTGGGGTCATCCATGGCAGGCCCCTTTCTCTCGGTAGAACTCTTTAATTTAATTCCAGGCAGGTGGGGATCAATACTACTTAGGCTAGTCCTGAAAGGTGCAGTAACTTATTCTACCACCAGGCGTCAGCACTGGAAGCAGTTAGGCCACACAGCACTGGCTTTACCCACACAGGGCAGGGCAGATCAGCAAGAGGCTAACCACAAAGGAACGAGAACTTTCTCTCACTGCCCATCATCATCAGAGTTGGTCTGGGGAGATCTGGGGGCAGATACTGGGCCTCGGTGCATCGTCCATGGTCCTGGCATCCTGCAGTAGATTTGTTTGTTGTGCTGAGGCAGTTCCCACATCTGAGGCCTGCCCTGGAGCTGGAATCACCCCATCCAGACACAATGGTATCAAGATCTCAGGTCTCTTATCCCTGAGAGGCCTGGCTGCTCTCCCTTTACTGCTTTAAGGGGCGTTGCACTCAAGGGAGACTCTGATGTTCTTCACCCCCACAATGCATTTCCCCTATTCTGAGCAAAGGCTTATAAGACTATTTGGCAGGACTCCACTGCCATTGGGATCTTCAGAAATTTCCTGCTTACTCTCCATAAAGGGACCTCTGTGCTAGTCTGTCTCTTCTCCTGAAACCGGGTTTTGTGGTTGCACCTTTGGGGAGAACTTCAGAGAAGCAGCATCACCGAGCCCCTCTAAAAGATATGGCATCTGAGAAAAGATTCTATTTCTCAGCAGAGTACAAACTTATCTCCATTTCCGGCTGGACCCATGTCTGCAGGAAAGGAGAGGATAGCAGCAGGATGCATCCCATACTAGTCATAGGAGAAGCAACTCTGAGAACAGCCTGCTGCAAAGGGCAATGAATCTATACCCACACTTGAGAGGCTCTGGGGCCTCTAAACACAGAATTATTCTTCTTGCTGCCCGATGAATGCAGGGGTCAGAGGACGGCGTCACTGCTAAACAAAGTCTGATGGGAGCCTTCCATTCTACTGATCTTTCCTTATTTCACAGTCCAGAGTGGATATGAAGCCTGAGTGGTCAGGCCCTCGATAGGGGGGTGTTGTCCCTTTAGTCCACTCCCAAGCACTACCGGGGGGGTGCTCTCAGGAGACAGAAAGACAAGAGTGCAAGACGGACAGAGAAAAGAGATGCTGGAAGTGGGCTCACCATTCACATTGAGAGTGTAGTAAGCCTTGTAGCTGCCCATCTTGCTGGTGGCCGTGCAGCCGTAGATGCCGCTGTCACTTTTGTTGAGGAACGGGAAGATCAGGGCTTTCTCCTGGGTTATCTTCTGGGGCGGCTCACTACCTTCCTTCTCCCATAGGTACTGCTGGGGGCTGTGGAGGCAAAGAATCCCCAAGTGTTCGGGAGAGAATAGGTCAGGGTGCTAAAGGGAGATTAAAAAAAAAACACCCTGGGAGCAGGGAAGTCAAGGACTGTTTGATGAAAGCGCAAAAAGTTATAGGGGCCAGGGACGCTGAGCCGCTCAGAGGCGCGGAGGCAGGGGTACCCTCTTGGGGTTCAATTTTGGGAAACGGGAGATTTACTTAACTTGTATTTTACTGGAACTTGGTTGCTTATGGGAACCTCAGGGAACCAGGGAGGGGCCCCTCCCCACTTCTGCTCTTTGCAGGAGACACAAAGGATGGATGTTGTGAGACAGTGTCAGGGACAACGAGAGGCTCAGGCAATACAGGGGAGATAGAAAGACTTTAAAGGAAGATCACGATTTCAGAGTCTGGCGCTGTACTAGAGGGCGGGAAATGGCTCGCCTTACTTGGGGTTGCCACGCCCCTCACAGTGTAATGACAGCTTCTGGCCCTCACGGGGATGTGCAGGCTCTGGCCTAATCTTCGCCGTTGGCGTGTCTGTGGAGAAGGAAATGATGTCAATGCAAAACTCCCACTCCCACAATATCATCCAGTTATACATTATGGCTTCTTCCCCTAAATGCCTCAGAAGCCCAAGAGGCCATGAACAAAGACCTTTATCCCCCTCCTTCTGTGAGCAAAGGCCACTGTTGTCGTTGAACGTGGGAGAGACTGGTATTGCCACTTAGAGGTGGGCTTCCGGAAGGTCTGTCTTTGGAGATGATCCAAGAAGTGTCTTAACAGAGAGCGGAGAAGGGGAGTCGCTGGTTCACCTGTGCTTAGCACACTGCCTAGCACATAAATGGGACTTCATACACATTGGCTAACAGAACAGATACACTTGAACTTGATCATTTATTGAGCTCACAACCTCTGAAACCTCTGCTCTGCAAGGGAGCTTAAACCAGAGGCAACACTTGAACAAAATACGTTTTTAGTAATCGGTTAAAAAATGAAGTGAGAGCTGGCAAACGGCAAGAGCTGAGGGTCATATTTTGGCTGCAAAAAGGCACGGACACAATCTAGCTGGGCTCTGTGAAGGAATGATGGCATCTGCCACTGACCCCAAAGGGCTGTTGAGGAGGGTACGTCCAGATGGCCGGATAGAACAATACAACCAGATTCTGGTTTAGAACAACAGATAAAGAGGCTAAGCTTTCCCTAAGGATAGAGCCAACCTTAACAACCAGTTAATGGCGGTGTTTCAGTCAAATCAAACAGGACAAAGAGAATCAGGCCAGGTGAGAGAATGGGTGTTCTTGGGTCCTACAGCCACAGAAACCTCTAGCACAGTACCTAGAGTATAGCAATTGTTGACTGAGTACTGATCACAGTTGAGCCAAAAAGCTCCCTGGAGAGTAACTGCCAGATGGTCTGGTACCTAACACAGAAGTCTTTGGGGATCAGACTGGGGAGGGCCTTCCTTAGCCCTGGCCGGGGACCAGCCTTAGGGGAAGAAATTCAAGCAAGGCCAGAAACCTGGCCCTCAGAACTAATAATCAGAGAAACACCTTATAGCAATATAGAACTCTGAAGTTTACCAAGTGCTTCCACAGATATTGTTTCATTTATTCTCAGGAAAATGTAGTGAGGTAAGCAGGAGCTGCTAAGATTACATGCTTTGGTGAAAGTAACACAGCTAGTAAATAACTGCAGCTAGAATCCACGTCGTTTGCTTCCAGATTGAGAGTCTGCTAAACGGAAAGTGATGCCACCCCAAACCTACCTCATGTTCGAATTTCAGCAATGGGTTCAGCAACTGATTTAAAAAGCACTGAAATACCTCCATACTGATGTCCATAGTGGCTGCACCAGTCTGCAGTCCCACCAACAGTGCACCAGGGCTCCCTGTTCCCCACAACCTCGCCAGCATTTGTTGTTTGCTGATTTATTGATGATAGCCATTCTGACGGGGGTGAGGTGGTATCTCATTGTGGTTTTTAATAGATAAGCATGATATCGGGGGTGGGAGGGCAGTAGATGGGGGAGGCGGGTTGTTTCTGTGTGAAGGGTGAAAAGGATAACTATTGCATTGTTCTGTACACCTGAAACTAACAATAATTAATTAACTAATTAATGAACTAATTAATTAATTTTAAAAAGCCCTGAAGTTGGGCCTGGATCTTCCACAAGGAGATTAAGTGTTTTAGTTATTGTAGAAAAACACCCAGCCTTTCGATAAGTTAGAACAAAAAATACATTACAGCTCTTCTGCCTTTGCATTTTATTTTCTTTACTCCTTGGTTCCCCTCCACTAAGAAAAGTTATTTTTGAAAATATCCAAATTTCTTCAGGGGAGGAGGGAAATTCGCTGTCCTTACTCAAGGCAGATTTCATAGAGGAATAAGGATCATTGGAAAGGTTACAAGTGGCCATTTTGGGTCAGACTCCCAAGAAAAATCATAGAGCTACGGCAGATAGGGGAGTACAGTAGGGAAAAGATCTGGGAATAAACGCCAGAGAGATTGTGTTTCCTACCACCTGTATTTTCTCTAAACTATAGTATGTTAAACTAAAAGAATAAGACTTAGTGATCCCCATGTCCATCTTCTCATTTGGCAAATAAAAAACCAGGCTCAGGGGTAAAGTAATTTTCTTAGCATCACATGGCTAGTAAGTGGTGGAGGGTGGACTAGAACTTGCATCTTCTAATTCTGATTTGCTTTAGTTACCACCACAAATTACAAGCTTGCTGCATAAAACAGACCTGCCCCAGGGGTTGGTAAACTTACCCCTTGGTGCTACAAGCTACATGTTTTTGTAAATAAAGTTTTATTGGAACACAGCCATATTCATTTGTTTACATATCTTCTATGGCTACTTTCCTGCAACACCAGCAGAGGTAAGTAGTTGAGACAGAGACCATATGGCCCCCAAAGCTTAAAATGTTTGCTATTGGGCTCTTTACAGAAAACGTTTGCTGACCCTTGACCTAGTCCTGTAACCTCTTGTCGCATTTTGTTTTTACCTATCCACTTATGTGTTCCTGTTGCTTCACCTGCACTTTCCTTTTCCCCACTCTCCATCTCATACCTGATCCATCTTCACCCTCAAGCCCATAACATACATAAAACTTCAATGCGTTGAGAGGTAGATCTGTCAGCTCCTTTTAGAGATTCATGCTTCACAGAGCAAAGGATGTCTGCCCCATCATCCTCTCGGGTAACCTGGAACATCACTGAGCTGCTCACGGTGAAGGTTTTACCATTAGGATCTTCCTGTATTTGGGTTGGTTCTCCTAGAGTGCAGAAACAGACACATACATGCACACACACATAGACACAGAGTGAGCACTAACATACAGCTATTGTGTGGGCCCCATTGTAGACATACAGATGGTGAGTCTCAACTTAGACAATCTTAGAAAGTTGTGAAATGGATATGTGCACACAAGGAGAATGTAGGCACGCACGCACGCGCGCGCATGCGCGCGCGCACACACACACACACACACACACACACAGTATGCACAGAATATCTGTCATTCCCACTTTTTCTTTCTACATCATGCCTTATGTGCACATACACAGACATATAGACATGTTCCCGTCCCTCTCTCCTCTCCTCCCTGAAGCACCACCTCCTCCTATAACCCCAAGGCAGAAGGAACTTACCAGGAAGCACTTGCTCACCCTTCCTCCAGGTGAGTTGAGCTGCAGGTTTGCTCCCAGAAGACTGACAGTTTAGGATGATTGTCTCCTCTTCCCGTAACGAGGACTTGTAGCCAGTGATTATGGGCTTCTGTGGGATTCCTACCATGCATAGGGAATGGCCAGGATATGAAGGAGAGGCCATGAGGTCACACTCAGCAATCCCTGCTGAGATGGCCTCTGTGGGGGTCAAGATAGTTGGGCTCTATTTTGGTTTATGATGAGTAGAAGACTAGATATCTTTCTCTTTGATCTCCTCCCTGAGGACCAGGAAGGAAGACCTTGGGGGGGGGGGGAGAGGTATGGTATTGGATAGATAAACTATACCTGAGAAATGATACATGACCTGACACCCCACAGCACAACTGGGTGGCCACAGAAATAGCGTGAAGCTCAGGGAAACAAAGAAGGAAATTGAAATATAGGATGAAATATAGGATGCTTACATGAAAGCATGTAAGCAACTAGGGTCCCCAACTTGAACATTATAATCATACATTACATGCACTCCTTATGTTTCCCTCACACATTCATGGGAGGCAGTTGGAACAGACATCATCATCTTTCTATTACAGACTCAGAGAGAGTAAGAGATTTGTCCCAGGGTAAGTGGTAAGTAGAAGAGAAGGGATTAGAACTCAGCGCTCTTTGCATTTCATTCTGTTGCAAAGGAAATATAAGCTGAATGTTTCCAAAAGGCTTGGCGACGTGCCTGGCTCTAGGCTCCTTCAGGGGCCCACTTAGGGAGATCTGTTTGCATGGAGCATGCTGTGGTGAGCCTGGGGTTGGGGAGCCTCACCAAGCACAGTGACGAGGGACTTGGCGGTTCTCACGGGCATAGTGAAGATGGAGCAGGTGTACTCGCCCTCGTCTGCCAGGGCCACGTTGCTGATGCTGATACTGAGCTCATGGGGCGTGGACTTCACCAGCTGAATCCGATTATCTCGAAGGGCTGGGGGGAAATTGGGAGAATTGGAAGCAAGGCTTTTATTGGCATCTTTCGTATTTATCTTCCATCCCAGCTCAGTTTCTTTGGGGGAAGGGGTCGAGTGTGATTTGGGGCAAGGGGGGAAAACTGCTCCTGAATTTGAGCAATCTTTAGGTCAGTCACTTTCCTGGGCCCTTGGGCACAACAGCCAAAGAGATACTCAGAAAAGAAGGCTGGATCTCAAGGGCTTCCTCGTGAGATGCAACACTGATATCAGCTGTCTCTACTGCTTCTTTGGGGTAAAGTCACCCCAGGACCCTATAAGACCATGCATGGCCTAGGTCAGAGCTGTGATCCTAAAGTTTCTCTGAAACTAGCTGAGGCGCCCATGGTTGGTTGCTTCCTCAAATAGCATACCTTCGTGTTTCTCAGCCTCTGGACTACAGGGACATTTCCCCGCAGTGCTGCAGTCCCCTTCCCCAGCCCATGGTTGCCACAGAGAGAGATAACTCATGAGACTCTACCTCTCTTCTCCCCAAAGTAGAGAGTCTGCTGGGCAGGGTTAGACCACTGCAGGGATGAGTCCTCATGGTCTTTCACTTGGCACTTGAGCACCACGGTGCCACCAGCCACCACTGTCTCATCAGATGTCCAGGGCTGACTGTCTGCAGGAGTAGAATACAGTTAGTTTCCTGAGCAAGCCCTAGCCCCTCCACCCATTTCTGGACCAAGGTCCACCTCATCTAATTCAGACCATCCAAGGTGCAGATCTCTGTGTCTCTTAAGACATCACAGAGGAAGGAACAGGGGAAGGAACAGAGGTGGTAGTGGTATTTCCTCTTGTTTTGAATACACAGAAAAACTGTCACTTGTTGAATGTTTGCTGAATGAACTGACAGGGCCACAAACACTTAGAGAAATAAAGGCACTCCAAATCTACACATACCACTCCACATGTATCTTTTCTGATAGCATTCTACCAATCACCTTTGAAAACACACATACCCATCTGTCATTCTATGTTTTGCCTTCCTGCCACCATCTGCATATAAAAGCAAGAACAGGAGAAACAGTTGTGACTAATAATCCCAAAACTGAAGGTGAGGGAAAATTCAGGCAAGCCCTTGGATTGCACATTCATTTACACAAGAGGTAACTGATAAAACTTCAAAATAAACAAGAAAGATTTTCTAAAAACTGAAACGGAATTTTAGACATGGAATTTTCAGTTCCTCTAACAATAACTTCCTTTCATTCATCAGCTCCCTTAACATATTCCTTTCAGTATTAGTACTACCCACCTCCCAATACACAAACCCAAATCACCATCCTGGTGTTATTTTAAAGAGCAAAGGATTAAAGTTTTCCTTTCAATGTGATGGAAATAAATGTTTTAACCCCTCTCTCCTTAGTCCAATTAAACAAAAAAAGGAGTAATAAGGTATATGGATGAGCCATTTGAATCCCAAACTGCCTTCTAGTCAGGCATAGCTGTGAGGCCCTCGGACTGTGTGACTGTGTGACACTTGTTTACTCCACCCAAAATTGCTTCATTTTCCCCAAAGCAGTGACTCTGATTCCCAATATTGAGTCCCCTCATCTTCAGGACTGACTTTCTATAACCAAATAGCACTTGACCTTCACAGAACTAAAAATAACACCTTCCACCTCTGATTCTAAAACATCCACAATATTTCTTCTATGGCACTAAATTATCTAACTGGTAGTATTCTTCTCTGAGTAGGAAACCAAGAAACATACTTCTTAATTCCATAATTGAGTAATTTAGATGATACCCATGCTCCCTGTAGCACCAACCTTACCCCTGCCCTGTCTGCTTATTCTTTCTTTCTTGATCACCACAGTTCCATCTCCAAGAAATATACAATGAGCGCTCCTGGCAGGGAAGGTGCCCTGAGGAGTGAAGGTGGCATGTGCAGGAGTTGACACCAAGCACCAGTGCTTCAGGGTGGCTGTCTCCAAATTGAAGCACAAAGCCTGGCCACTCGTTTTAGTGTTTAGAATCATAAAAATTAGAACTGAAGGGGACCTTAGGGATCATGGAATCCAATTCCCTTGTTTTACAGATGTAGACCATGAGGCAATGGAGGTGAAGTGATTGCCTAAGATCATTCTACTTATAAATGATTCTATTAGGTTGTCGGAAAAGTCATGACATATTTTTTCTGGTTTTCGTTGCAAAAATGCGTCATGACTTTTCCAACAACCCAATAGTTAGGGCTAGAACTTTGTTCTTCTGACTCTCAAACGAGTGGTCTTTTCATTGGAATGCCCTCAAATAATCACCTAGCTTGAGAATGAAAACTATGATTTTGAAATTAGTGAGCCAGAGACTGAAATGACTAAGTAAATTTGGGAGTGATATATTCTTTAAATATCTCAATGCAAGGTTTGGGAAGCCTTTCATTTACTATTAGCTATATACCAATTTTTGACTAGTAATTTCATTGTCCCCAGTGCCTTATGAAGAGTTCTACCTTGACTATGTTTTCCAGAAACTCTCTATTCTAAAGAAAACACTCCTCTTGGAATCATTTTATTTTTGGAAAAAAAAAAAAAGTGTAGAGGATACAGAGGTTTCTGTACTGGAGTAAGGGAAGAAAGAGTGGGTGCTAGAGACATTGGTGGTATAGAGCTAAGAACTACAATGTCAGATGGAAAGGAGAAAGAGTTGTGTGGTGATGAGGGGCGTGAGAACACAGGGTGAATGCCACATGAATGGGGGATGGTGTGAGGATGGGTGAGGGACACTGAGATGAGAGGGCCTGGATTCTCACCTTGACTGGCCAGCATGTCAGGGCTACTCCAGACTGTGGAGCTGATAGCCTCGTCCAGTGGAGCCAGAGTCCCCAGCTCCAAATTCTGCTCCTGCCAGTAGCCTGGGGAGAGAACCTCCATCAAGGATGAGCCCTACATTCACACGGCTGCAGCTTGCGGTCTGTACTTCCATTGTTGCGGGTGGGGTAAGAGGTTGGCCCCTGTGAAAAGTGTGCTCACCAGGATACCCAAGAGAAGATGGGTTTCTCACAAAGGGAAGACATTAACTAGAGTCCTGAAAAAAGGAAGTGGACTCTTTCTCCAAATGGGTGAATAGAAGGAGGATGCTAAGTTTTATCCGTCAATCATATAATGTTAGAGCCCAAAGAGATCTTAGCGGTCATGTGGTTTAGCACCCCCCCACTTCAAAGGTAAGGACAATGAAGCCCATAAAGGTTAATTGTTGACTTGGGGAAGATCACTGCAGAGAAAATGAAAGATAACCAAAGGCTTTTTTTTTCTTTATCCAAGATTCTTTCTGCTACACCACGTTATCTACTAAAATAATGACAGGTTTACTAATTAGAAAGTACTTTCACATTAATCCTTTTAGTAAACCCGTAAAATCAGTACTCTAGTATTATCATTACTACTTTGCAGTGTGGAAACAGAATGAAGTGACTTGCTCAAGATCATACAAATAGAAGAACAAAGACTGGAAATTAAAGGCCTGATCCAAATCCAAAGCTCCATTTGTTTCAGGTAAAATCCTACCACTGAGGACAGACAAGCCAGGGCTGAAGTTGCCTCCACACCTTCCCAGACTGTTACCTTCCATTGAGAACTCCAATTCTCAAGTTTTCCTCCTCCACCCTCAGTCCAACTGCCCACTTTATATCACTGACTCTGCTCCCTCCTCTGGCACAACAAACCCCTCTCTTCCTAGCGGGTAGCCTCTAAACCCTTTTGTGAAGTACTGCATAGTGTCAATGGCCTATTTTCCCAATTCAACTTGAAGAGGCAGAAGGACAAAGAAACAGGCCTAGGGACTCTTTTCAGGGTCTCCCGCCATCAGCCCAGAAGTAGCCAATCACATGCGCAAAATTCAGTGAGGTCATCGGCTGCTGAGGGAAGTCCGGAGCTGCTGCCCGTCTTGCCGGGAGTCTGGGCATAACTTTAATTGTCTCTGCGCTTTTGCTCCAGAGAACCCACGGGGGAGGGTGGATGGGAGAGGAAAGAACGAGAAGGGGGCGCTGGGTCATAGGGGGGGTTCGAGGTGGTGGGGGTGCGAGACTAAAAAGAAAAGTGGCACTTGGGCTTCGGGTACTGGAGTAGAAAGGGATGAGGGAGAGAATTGGCTAATCAGAAGGGAAAGAGAGGAGAGGGCAGAAGGGAGAGTGAGGGAGAAGGGAAAGGGGGAGGAAGAGAGAGGCAGGAAGGAAGGGAGAGTAAGAGAGTCCTTGCTTCCTGGATAGGGATCTAAGACATAGCTTCAGGGGTTCACAAGCCTCCATGGAGACGCCCCTCCTCGCCACCCTCCTCCACTGTTCTTCACAGACATGTTCTGGGAGATTTCAGAAATCACTCTGCTCTCAAAACAGGAGAAGCCCTAATGCCCAAATGGGAGGGGCAGTAAAGCAGAGAAAACAGAAAATCTGTACCAGGTAGAAAGAAGCAGGCAGAAAGGGGACAAGGAAAGTGTTGATGGAGAGAGGCAACAAAGGTGAGGACAAGAGAAGGAAAGGCGACCGGGGACGGGACACAGGCTCTCCTATCCAGCAGAGACCCTCCCTGGGTGCCAGGCTCTCACCCTGCTGCCTTCTGTGGATCTTAAGGATGGAGGCAACCTGAAGTTGGTGAGTGTTTCATATTATTTTCCAGGTTGGGTATTTGTGGGTGTGCTGCTTCAACACATAGTAGGAAGCCAAAGGATTGTGCTAAAGATTGAGATGGTGGAGGGACAGGGAGAAGCCAGAGTCAGCGCTCAGCCCACAGGATTGGTACCCAATGCACAAAGTAAACACTAATAGGCCTTTGCTCAAATGAACAGAGGAAATAGCCATCTTATACCTTGGCATAGGACTTTGAGTTGGCAGAGTTTATTTTCAACCATGAATTCAGTGAATGTCAAAACAACCTTGAGAGATAGGCAGGCAGATAGATAATCGGTTTTTAGAGATGAGGTCTAGAGGGGTTCAGGGACTTATCTAAAGGCACGCAAATAGCACACCTCTCAAGAATCCTCTTTCTCTTTCTGGTGATGCTGTCAAATCTTTTTCAACAGCTCCTTTATCTTATAGCATTTCAGCCCATTGTATTGCAATTTACTTGTTTGATTATTAGTCTCATCTATACCTTGAGTCTATGCATCTTTAGCACTTAGACCATAGTGGGCTCAGTACAATTTAATTGGTCTGGTAATTCATTCAGTTGCTATTGGCACTGTGCTATGTCTAGTCCTAGTCAGGCAGAACATATATTCTGTCCAACAGCATGGATTTAGTCTTCACTCTCCTTCTTTTATCTGTGCTTTTTTTTTTTTTTTGCATTCTAAATTCAGTTCTACTTGCTTACATTCCTGTCATCCCTTCCCTCCTCCTGCATTTTGCTGGCATTTTTTTTTCTGTATAGGATAAATAAGTGAAATGATGATGTAGGTCATTCAAACCAATCTGAATTATTCAGATGAGGGGACTGATAACTCAACAAATAATCTCCAATAAATGGCATATTTGGAATATGCTTGATATATTGTCTCTGCAGGCTTACAGGGAACTCATTCTGGTTCGTAGTGTTTTAAGAAACAGCTTAAGAGGTAGCTGGTTCCCCATGCCCCCAGGGGTGACATTTCTCTCTCTAATTTTGAAAAGTACTTAAGTTTTCTTGCTGTTTTTATAAAATTGTACAATTGTAATAATAAATTCTGAATGGCCACTCCCCTGGGAGAGGATGAGTGATTAAAATCCTATCAACAGGAACATGGATAAGTAGAAGAAATAATTACCTGGGTTGTGGAAGGATAGAGCCTTCTTTGGATTTATATCATGCCAATCATTTATGACATCAGCAAAATTCCCTCAGTGGATTCAGATTGGGAAGGAAAACTTGAGAGTACTCTGAAATGCTGGCGTGAACTTTGAAGTGGAAATAGTAAAAATTCTGCTCTGGCAGGGTCGTTGGAAGGAAACGCAGACATTGAAACCATAGAACCATTAATGAGGGGAGGCCCCTCATATAGAAAAATAGATGAAGAGAGCTCTGGTCATATAGGTCATATTGTTTTCCTGCTCAGAAACCTTCACTGACCTCCCGCTGTCTGCAGATCATATCCAGCTTTGTTAGCCTGGCCTGCAAGATCCTGTAAATTCTGATGCCAGCATTCCTCTCAGCTTTCTTTTCTTTACTTCACTCACCTGATAGCCCAGACATATGATGCTATTAGGAATTCTTTCTATAACCCCTTTGCTTTCTTGCATATATTTCCTTTCCTACAATAACTGTTAATACCCTTCACCCGTCTTCACATGTCCAAGCCTTATCCATCCTTAAAGCCTACTTTTTGTGACACCTTCTTCAAGAAGTATTACCTGATTGTCCCAGGTGAAAAATAATTTCTCTTTTCTCTGAGTTAGAACAGTTTACCTGCTTTCCTTAAATTATGTGTTACTGTCTATTTTGTACTGCAAGTTTGGCCTCCCTCCAAAATTATACAGACCCTGCAGGTAGGGTTGATATCTGATTAATTTTTGTATCCAGTACTGGTCCTAGTACAGCATATTACACATAGCAGGTGCCTAATAAATATTTAATAAATGAAAACAAAGATGCTGAGCATCTTCTACTGTGAGAACTAGGCCAAAAATCTGCCAATGCAGAGGAACTAGCAAATGAAACACGGTAAGAACAAATAAACAGGCCAAAGAAGAGGGTCGCCCATCCAGAGGCTGAAGCTCTAGAAGTCTACAAGAGGTGGAGATCAATACTTATTGATCACCTTCTGTGTGTCAAGATCCAAGTTAGGTGCTCTATATTCATTATTCCAGAACAACCCTTTTAACAGGTATTATTATGCACACGTTAAGGATGAGTTAACTAAGACTCAGAGAACGTAAGTAACACATCCATGTGATGGATTCAATAAGTGTTGAGATGGGACAGGCTTTAAACTTAGATCTCTCTGACCACGAAGCCCAGCCTTTCTGCACATCTTCACTACAATGCCTCCCTTTGCAGAGCATGTATTTCGTGTGAGTTGTGGTGGGGCAGGGGTTAGAGGAGGAAGATTCCTTTCTGCATTGCTGGCCACTCACCTGCAATGTGATTTTAAAAAAAAGGAGTGCAGCACTTTGGAAATGGGTGCTTGTGGTGGTGATGATATGACTTATACCCACTGAATTATATTTTTAATTGGATTTCTTAATATGTCTTCATTATACTTTTGGAAGATGTTTTGTGCACCCTTAAGAGCCTTATAACGTGGGACTCTTAGTTAACCAAGCTATACACGTGTCCAGTTAAAACTAGTGGAATCCCCTCATGTTTTCATAGCATTCTAGCACCTAGGCTAAAAAGTAACATTATCTTCCTGTTTTACCTCAGTTGCCTTGGGGGTTCTTAATTCTTGGTTTCTTTACCCATGGGTTCTAGTACCTTTAGGGCTCCCAGCATTTTAAAGGACAACATAGCCCTTTCACCCATTAATTTCCTTTTGATTGATTGCTTATATTAAGAGTAGCAGAGGTGGGAATTGGAGACTTACTAATGTGCCTCTTTAAAGCATACATTGGCACCTCTGATTCAGTTGTTCACTCATAGTCCAGAACCTTGCACATAGTAAGTGCTCAATAAATATTCATTCAATAAATAAATGAGTGACTCAAATGAATAGTAATATGTCTCCGATTTAAGTGATGCTAGTAGGGAAGTCTGTGTGCCAGTATAACCTCTGTTTGCTTGGTTTTTATATCTTTCTGTCTGTTTTGGGAATCTAAGGTGCATTGGCCTGAGGGCCATGAACAAGGTCGCAGGTACACATTTAGGATGGAGGGACAAGGGGACAGAGCTCTCCCACATAGCTGCTGCTGTCCTTGCCAGTGCTTGGGTCCAGAGCCCCACTTTACAG